GGTTTATTTATTTTTTTCCAGGCTACAGGGGCCTCTTAAAACCAAGGCCTTAAGAATCTCATTCTCCTTCATTTTTTAAATGGGGGGAAATGGCTTTTGAAGTCTTGGTCCCGCTGAGGGGCCTTCTGAGACCCCTGAAGTGACGAGTCGGGCTCATCAGTATATTATCTTAAAAGGAGAGATGAAGAGAAGCTGGGTCTGGTGTCCCTGTTGCTTCTGAGCTGGCTGTGTGACCTTGTGCCGCTCTTAGTCTCTCTGGGTTCCCAGCTTCTCCAGCGGTGAGAGGAATTGGTCAGGAATGGTGCAGAGACCATGTTCACTGGTGCGTTTCATGGACTCCTCATGTGACAGTAGTGTCCTGCAAAGACAGATGCTCCCAGAGAGTCGATGACCACAGGTTGGGGGTAGCAAGTGGTTTAAGTCAGGCCCAGACAGCCCTAGGGGCATCAGGGGTCACAAATCCCCAGTGACTCTGTGCCCGCCCCACACGTTCCGGACCGCTGCCCCGTCCCCTGCGTGAGTCCCCTCACTGCTGAGTCCCAGGGCCTGGGCTGCCAGAAAATGTGCAGCTCAGGCTCAACATGGTGCTTGCATTTGTTTTTCTGCTTCAAGAGCCAGGCTGGGGCGGGTGGCAGGCAGCTCGCCGCAGGCTTCCGCCGGCTTCACGTGTTTACACTTGCTGTCGGGAGAGGCCAGGAGTTGGCAGGACCATAAGAAGGCTGGAGCTGAGGCATTTAATAGGACCGGATTCCTACGGCCTCTCTTGCTATTGTGTGTTTACTCTCCCCACAGATGCTAACCCAATAATAATAGTTAACGTTTACAGAGCGCTCACCCTGCTCCACAGGCTGCGCTCAGCACTTTGCGTCTGTACTTCCAGCTGTTTTGGGAAGTGGCCCTAGAATTGAGACCCATTTTTCTCATGGGGAAACTGAGGCTGGGAGAAGTGAAGTAACTTGCCGGGGACCACAGAGTTTTGTTCGCTGGGAAAATACCAGATTGCAGCCCTGAGGTCTCCAGACAGAGCCCGCGTGCCTGAGCCCGCCATGCCGCGGGTTCAGCTGCTGCCATGCGTAGTTTGTGAAGTAAGAGCAGAGGGCTCTCTCTGTGCAAGATATCTAGAAACCTCTCACTCAGACAGTCCCTTCCTTAATAGGATGATAGCCCAAAGAGAGTAAGGAGCCCACAGTTACAGAGCCAGTTTGGTGGTATCAAAGGACTTAGACTTCTCTCCCAGTGCGGACGCTGCAGAGAGGAGTCCGGAAGCCTTGGCTCCCTGGGCTGGGAAGATTCATCAGTTGGTCCCACTCCTCCCCCTCACCCATGGAGTTGGGACACAGCAGGAGGGAGTTTTCATAGGGATTTTCCAGGGCGTGCAGTGATGCAGGCCAGCTCTCCTCAGCGAGCCAGGAGAGGGGGCTTGGTGAAATTACCAGAAAGGAAACAGCCGGAACCTGCAGCCCAGGAGGTGGGTGTTGCCGAGAAACCCATGTGTTGTTTACCACTAACTAGCAGAGGACCACAGGCCAGGGAGCGGGCGGGCTGAGGACAAGGCCTGAAGCAGTGGGCTTGGTGGTGGAGGGCACCTTAGAGGCAGGGATGATCTGGATTTCTGTGTTTGAAGATACTAATCAGCATTCAGTTCAGGAAACAAACCCCTCTAGGTATTTTAAGCAGGAAGGGATTTAACACAGGGAAGTAGGGACTAATAGAATCACAGGACGGGCTCAAGAAGCAGATTCTAAGCTGAGCCTCAAGGAATGGCTGCAAGGACAACAGCTCATCCATGGGCAGGCAGTGCTGCTTCCCGAGTTTGACCATACACCCTGTGAGCTGTGATTCAGGATCAGAGCTAGAATCAAGGCATCTTTGCTGTTGCTTTTACCACTCCTATCCCTGTCTCAGGAGCACCAGGAAGGTGGAAACTAGACACTGGAATGTTCTGTAGGAAACGAACAAAAAGCACTTCATGCTTTCATGACCTGTTTGCAAGAACAAAATGGACACAAAAGTGGCCCCGGCCTCCCGTCTACTTCTCAGATCTCTTGGAGCAGCCTCTGTAACAGTGAAACCTGATTTGCATCTAGAACCCTAGCTGCAAAGGAGTCTTGGAAGTGTAGTTTTCAACTGTCCAGTTTCTGAGCAAAATGGCAGAATGGAGCCAGTGAGCAACCCTTGGTAGACACCCACTGAGGGTGCCACTACTGGATTTGTTCATGCGCTGAGTTCTAAGACACATGAAGCAGGAGAGTGAATCCAGACACCATCTGGTTGGGCTTCATGACTCCCAGACTCCCTCTTGGATTTCCCCTCGTGCAGCTGGGAGATGCCTAGTAGCCGCACTTGGCACTTCATCCATCTTGGCTGTTGGCCCCAGTGGGGGAGAATGGCTGACAGATCCATGAATTATCTTTTTATTTACACATCCATCTATCACCCTGACGGTTTAACTGAAACCTCTTCCTTGTTTTAGAAGAACTGATGTACAGAATGCTTTCTCTGAGCTTGCCCTCCAGCCCTGTAAGAATGGTAAAGTTCAAAAATACTTGTAAAAATAAGCACTTTTTAACCAAGAAGAGAGTTCGTAAACAGAGCAACAGCTCATGACTGGACTGTTTTCCCTTCCTAGATTACACAAGTCCCCCCCATCAAATCTTGGCTTCCCACCCTCATGAGTCAATACTGTACCCTTGAAAATTAGATGTTGTTTTTCTGGGCAGAAACATGACCTGATCCATAACTGAAAATCTGGGTGTATTGTACTTAGGTACTGATACTCACCCATACTTTTAGTCACTCGGCAAACGTTTATTAAAGACTTCTTGTATCAGACCTCAGGCTGAACATATTTTCGAGGAAGCAGGGATGGGGAAGGCATCATTCTTGACCTTAGAAGGAATAGGCTCGGCAACAAGACAGGACATACTCGTTGCTAGAAGAGAGAGCCGTAGGGCGTTGTAGCGGGTCTCAGAGCAGGAAGAGAGTTTTGGCTTCTGGAAAGAGATGCCGTTGGCACTGAGCCCTGAAGGTTACGTAGAATCTAGACAGGCAGAGGGGAGAGTTAATCTTCCTTGGGAGGAGAGGGCAATGGGCAGGGGAGCTGGAAGGCCTGCAGCACTGCAGTCTGGGTGCTGGTACTGGCCTGGCTGGCGATAGTGGGCTAGGCTCTGGGCACCCGTGAAGGCCAGGGCCAGCGAGGCTTCCCCAGCCTGTCCCCTCCCCTCACTCACTGGCACACACAGCGGACCACTTAAATGACTCATACATTTTCTTCAGGGACAGAACTAGCATATCAGAATAACTTCCCACAGGCGTCACCTTCCAGATCACATCTGGTTATTCTGGGGCTTGTGGTTGTTGAGTGAAAGAACACTTTACCCTCAAAAAGAGAAACTGTTAAAATTGCGAGGGTGAAGCCAGGCGTGGTGGCTCACACCTGTAATCCTAGCACTTGGGAGGCAGAGGCAGGAGGATTGCTGTGAATTTGAGGCCAGCCTGGGCTACACAACAAGTTGAAGGCCAGCCTGAACTACATAGTGAGACCCTGTCTCATAAAATTGTGAGGATGATCCAAAGCTTGGGAGCCTGGGATGAGCGATCAGGGCAGGCTCTGGTGATCACCTGTCGCTGGCTTAGAGCAGCTGAGGAGGGAGTGCCGGTCTTTTCCCTGGTTGGAGAACTTAGCTGTGTACCAAGGGGAAAGGCAGCAGTGACAGCTCAGGCCCAGGGTACCAGAGGAAGCGGAGCATGTATAGGACTGGCTTCCTGCCCTGGCCTGGCGCCCACTCCCCAGCCTAGTTTGAAAGGAAGGACGGAGGGATAAGGCATCAGGAAGGGCTGGGAACACAGGCAGGAGCCAGGAGGCCAACGTGGGCTGTCAGCAGAGCCACCAGCGGTGAGGGGCGGGTGCCACCTCCCTGGGACCCGGGAGAGGAAGCCAGCCATCCATTCTGATCCATTCTGGGCAGGGCAGGCTGGGTGCCCATTGAGTCATGAAGCCAAGATTGGGGGCCGTGAGATCTATTGGCCTGTGAAGTACTCTGCCAAGGGGCTTTCACCATGGGGTACTCGCTCGGTTGGGCAGAGGACAAGAGGAATCCGTACATCAGTAGTGAGTGGACCCCACCCCCTGCTGAGTGCCAGAGCTGGTAGGGAAAGGGGGAGGGGCACTACATGGCCAGGGTGCTGTCCCATTCTGTGGAAATGGCGCCCCCTAGTGGCACATAGGTTGACTTTGACAGGTGCCCCCCTGGAATCTGCACCCCAGATAGTGGCAGTCTCTCCTTGCTCCTGTCAAGCTGTCCTGCACCATGCCATGGGCCTTGGTGTCACGCAGGCCCCCTGGGATGGTTCCTCTCCATAGGACTCACGGCTACTACTCCTGCCTGAGCGCCAGGCTGGGGCAACCCTGGCCTGGCCTGGTCTGGCCTGGTCCAGGAAGTCAGAGGCCCAGTGAGCCCCATTCTAGCTGGGGAAGTGACAGCTGTCCACTACACAGTGTGGTATGCATTCCTTCAGCTGTTTTCAGGGTGACCCCGGGAAACGGGTGCTACAGGTGAACATAGGCTCAGGGCGTTTGTGTGGCGTGGTGAGGTAGCCGCTGCTTTTGGCAAAGCTGCATTTGGAGCCTGGGTCTGTGAGACTCTTTCCTTTGGGTCCTGCTACTGAGGAGACAGTCTCCCCTCTACAGAGAGAACACCCCGGCTCCATGGCTGAATTCCTGGGAGAGGACAGGAGTCCTCGCTGTACATGTTAGGAAACCCCTTCTCTCATGGGCCACCTGAGGGGGGTCTGCTGATGTCCCACGACTGAAGTTCTCCAGACCTGGGAACAGGTTTCTGAGGAACGAGGGGACAAACTGGGGTCTCTGTGAGTGGAAGAACCAGGTCTCCTCCACCCCTCAGAGCCCAGGGGCTATGGGATGACCAGCTTTGTGGCTGTTTGCTGAGGGGTCTCTCCGGCCTCCGGGCAGTGCCTGACCTCTCTCTGCTGCCCCCCAGGCCCTTCATGCTGCTGCCACCGCTGATGGAGTGGATGCGGGTAGCAATCACCTACGCCGAGCACCGCCGCAGCCTCACCGTGGACAGCGGAGACATCCGGCAGGCGGCCCGGCTGCTGCTGCCAGGCCTGGACTGCGAACCCCGACAGCTCAAGTAAGGGACCGAGGAGGAAGGCGGGCCGGCACCATGCGCAGCCTCTGCCCACTCCCTTCAGCTTCCTTCCGCTCCTGGTGGCTGTGGGGAGTTGGTCCGAGACGGGGCTGCAGCACCTCCGAGCTGCTCTGAGGGGGTCCTCTGCGAACACCAAGGTGGAGGGTTAGAGCAGGTCCGGTCTAGAATGAGCTGCACCTTCTGCAGCCCCTGGTGTTGTCCGCAGAGCAGCTGCATATGCAGGTCTGGAGGGACACAGCTCACACTGGGACTCTGGATACAGGGGAGGGGCGGATGTGGCCCCCTCTGCTCTGTGCCTCTAATTGCCACAGTTTCCCTGAGCACTTCCTGGGGGCAGGCCCTGCGAGGGCCCTTCCTTCCAGGTGTCAGTCCTTGTGACAACGCTGGAGAAAGGACTCCGATGCCCACATGACAGATAAAGAGGCTGCCGATCAGGGAGGAACAGTAGCTGGCCTGCAGGCGGTCAGCTGGTACATTGACTGGGTCCCTATTTGGGCCCTGGTCCCCAAGCTTGCATTCTCATGATCTCTGACAGGAGCCCTTCCAGGGAGCTCCCTCCGGCCAGACCTGGCCCATGAGGGCCTTGGGTCTCTTTGTGACCTCTGCCCGGACTCCAGGTGCAGCCTCCTCTCTCTGCATGGCACATGCCTCACTCTGAGACCCAGGCGGAAGCCGCCCAGTGGATGTGTATTGTGTGCCCTCCAGAGACCAGGTTTTACCTGACGGTCCCTGGTAGGCTGGGGCAACTGCCAATGGGATTCTAGGCCCCTTCCTCCATGGCTTTGGTACTTCTGGGCATTACGAGGGAGTCTTGAGGAGAGACAGACAGAGGCAAGAATTAGACTGGCACCGCGATCATCTCATAGGCAGGCCATGTCTCCTCCTCCTCAGGGTGCTCTTTCCCCATAGCTTGGGTAGTTGGGAGTTTGTTCCTGACAGGTGATATTCCCGAAGAGCACGGCACACTTCCTCGGCCTGATTAGGAAAAAGCAGAAGCATGTTCTTCATGTCAGAGAACGTGGCGGGTGTGAACACGATTCCCAGTCCTTCCCCACCGCGGCCACCCTCGCTGCACGGGTCGGCGCAGCCCAGCCGGGCCAGGCCACTGAGGTGCAGGCTCGCTCACATACCTCTTGCTCTCTCCCGGGCAGACCCGAGTGCTGTTTCAGCTCCTTCCGGAGGCTGGATGCCCGCGCTGCTACGGAAAAGTTCAACCAGGACCTGGGATTCCGCATGCTCAACTGTGGGCGGACAGATCTCATCAGCCAGGCCATCGAGGCCCTGGGACCCGACGGCGTGAACACCATGGATGACCAGGTGATTTCCCAGAGCTCTGCTAGGCTGGGCTTTGGGGCCAGACTCAGGAATCCACAGTGCTAGAGCTGGAGGGAGAGTCCCTGTGTGGTAAAGCTGAGACATACTCAGCGCCGTGCTTCCCAGAGATGAGCTAGCTACCTCCTGCTGCAGGAGGAGTGTGAGCTCGGAACTACCTGGGACCCCTTGACAACCTCGGTCACGTGGATTCCCCTGGCTGAAGGGCTGACGACTGCCCCAGATGGCCAAGGCTGGGAAGAGTCCAGAGGTATCAGCCCCACATCGAGCTACGGATCGTAATCGCCAACACGCAGGAGTGTGTTGTGCGCCTCCAGTACCAGGCCCATCGAAACCCCAGCCTTCCTGGAGCTGACATTCTAGTGTGGAAACAGACAATAAGAAAAGCACACACCCATGGGGCTGGGGATTTAGCTCAGCGGCACAGTGCCTGCCTGGCAAGCGCAAGGTCATGAGTTCGATTCCCAGTACCAGGGGAAAAAAAAAAGCACATACCTGTAATCCCAGCACTCTGGGCAACTTAGCAAGACCCTGTCTCAGAATTTTAAAAATGAAAAAGGGCTGGGAAGATAGCTCGATACAAAGGCCCTGGGTTCCGTGTCTAGTACCGCAAAGCGAAAAAAAGAAACACACATATAATGCAGAGTATGTTAATAAAAAGTGCTAAGGAGTAAAGTAAAGTGGGAAAGGGTAAGAAATATTGGCGGTGAGTGACAACTTTAAGTGGAATTAACTTGAGCTCTTTGTGTTTGGATTGTTCATACGCACAGCTAGTACACAGCATTTACTGTGTTCCGGGCATTATTCTGAGCGGTTTGTGTAGATTACTTATTTAATGAGAGCAGCCCGATGGAACAATTACTTTGCCATTCTGTAAACGAGGAACTGAGGCACAGAGAGGTTGCTTTACCTACAGTCACACAGCAAGTAAGGAACAGAGCTGGGGCTGGCAGAACCCGGGCGGCCTGACTCAGATGCGTAACCACAGCGGAGCAGCCCGTTTGTGTATTTGACTCTGTTTTGGGAGCCGTGACCGTGTACATGGTGGCACTGCGTGGTTTGGGAGACCACACAGAAGCGTGGGGAAAGTGACATGACCACAGAGGGTTAAGCCGTGCTTTCGGATGAGATGACAGCTCAGTGCGGCACTGGTGACGTGTTAAGCGAACAGGAGGCCAGAGGGCGGCCGGGGCGGGGTGAGCAGGGCTGGCAGCCTCCTGCCGCAGGGGTGGAGCTGAGCCTGAGGGAAGACAGGAGTGGGAGGCATTCCCAGGAAATCGGGTGACCCGGGCAGGGCTGGGGCGGGGAGACCGCAAGGCTGGAAGGGACTTGGGTAGCGGATGTCACACAGGCCCCTCGGTCAGGGCAGGTGCGGGCTTCTCGGGAGCTTCACCCAGGATGCAGGGGCAGCCGTGAACGTGGCTTCACGTGGACGACAGCACAGACAAGCTGCCCTCCCTCTAAAGAGCCTCCGTTTCCTCGCCTCTTGGCGCAGGGAGAGTTACCTGCCACGTGGGGTGTTCTCGCGAGAATGTCCATCTGGCATCTCGTAAATGCTCAATGAACGCTTGCGCTGGTTTGCGCTGCCAATACACATGCGATGGTGACATCCCCGACCTCTGCTCTGCAGCTTCATTAGCCTCCCTGTGCCCAGAGTGGAGAGGGAAATGGCCCTTAACACAGCCTCTGCTCCGCAGCTCACAGCCCCGTTTAAACTCTGAATTTTGCAAAGATGCATGGAGAAAAAAGAACCTTAACCGTGTCGACGGGGATAAAACAAAGCCCCAGCTTTGTTGTGTTGCCCTTGGCTTTTCTCTGAATGCTCCACCCTGTTGCTCCCTACCCCTTGGTATTTATAGCCTGCCGTGCGGGTAAACAGCCCTCTGCCCCATGATGAATCTCAGGCCATTTCTTTATCTTTGAGCACTAGACAAGGATTTATGAGTTAAGGAGATCTTGTCTACACACACACAACCTAATAAATAACATCGCAGAACGCCGGCCGGACAAACGCTTGTCAGGATCCAGCTGTGGAACACGCGCTTCCCACCCCGCCTGTGCTATTACAGGCCAGGGGGAGACCCGCTAAGCACCCGCTAGCCTGGGGAGAGTGGGATGCAGCTTCCAGAAATCCCCGGATGGCGCAGCAGCGCAAGATGCTGGCCAGAGGCTCCCCTTCCCCGGGTGACGCCCCGAAGCATGGGCTTCACAGCCTACATGGACCGGGGGATCCAGTCATTCTGTCTCTTGCTAGTCATGTGGCCCTGGGCAGTTAATTCCGCATCTCCGCTCCTCACCTCTGAGATGGGATAATAGCAGGAATAGCACGAGGTGAATGAGACACTACATGTAAATCTCCTAATACAGATTCCTCATACAGGCACGGGCCTGTGATGGCTTGGTATATGACTATGTAACAGGAGACACTGGTGGTGGTATCTTATTTAGTTAGCTTACTCCGTGTCAGAGTGCTTATACACATTAACTCACACGGCAAGCCTCTGAGGCAGACACTGTCCCTCCTTTAGAGATGACGAAACCGATGCCCCTGTACAAAGTTTACAGTTAGCTGTGGCAGAGGTGGCTGAGTATGGCTGTGAGACCTGTGCTTCCCACCCCTCTGCCATCTGCCGTGCTTGTGCTAATGTCCCCTGCTTACCCTCCTGGTGTCCTGCGTCCAGGGGCCCGGGAAGCATGAGGAGGAGAAGGGCTGGGAGGAGCAGCTGGATGGAGGGAGAAGCTGCGTCCGGGGTTCCCGGGCAGAGGCCTGTGGGTACCTGTTGGGTTCAGCATCCGCCTTTGGTTCACGCAGGGCATGACGCCGCTGATGTACGCCTGTGCTGCAGGGGACGAGGCCATGGTCCAGATGTTGATTGATGCGGGAGCAAACCTGGACATCCAGGTGAGCCAGGCGCTGAGCCAGAGGCTACCCGAGTCTCTGGCGGCCGTGGTGGGTGCGATGTTTTGGGCAACTGGGTAGATGTGTCTCAGAGTCTAGAAATACAAGATGCAGAGATTTTCCTCATGATTTGCCTGAGAGGGAACAAGCTAAGGGGCATAAGTAGAGAAAACAGCCCCCTTTCTGTTTCTCTAGCACCTTTCACCAGCCTGTTCCCCACCATCCCCAAATACTGCTGGCTCTGCCTCCCTCTGAGGCCTGAAGTGCTCCCTGCTCTGCCATTTTGCCCATGGCAGACATCACTAATGGAGCATCCAGCCTTTCCTTTGGAGCTTTGTGCAACAGTGCTCTGGGAAGACATTACCAATCAAGTTGAGTTGAGCTGGCTCCTATTCACTATCCCTGCAGGGCACCCTCCTAGCGAAGGTGCCTCTGTCACCTGCCCAGAGATGTCACCTACCCTGGAAACACCAATCACTCGTTGTGTTTTCCAGGTTCCCAACAACTCTCTCAGGCACCCCTCTGTCCATCCCGACAGCCGGCACTGGACCTCGCTGACGTTTGCTGTGCTGCACGGACACATCTCTGTGGTCCAGGTGAGCTCCTGCCAAGGGCACAGTGTGTCCCCCGCTTGTCAAGGGGGCTGGACCCTGAGCATAGCCCCAGCCTCAGCTGGGAATCAGAGGTGCTCTTCAGGCTGGACTCCCTGCTCAGCAGGGCAGCACCCACCTGACTTTCCTGGAGAACGGCATTGGTGTAAAGATCCATGTAGCACTGTGGGATCCAGGCCCAGGCAAGCTACTGCACCGGGGTATGGTGCAGTGGGAGAGCGCCGCTTGGAAAGTGTAAGGCCTGGGTTCAAGCCTCAGCGCTGCTAAAGTAAAAAAAGACCCAGACCCAAGCAGGACAGAATCCCACGTCTGTGTTGCTCTTGGCAAGGACCTGTGCGAGTCTGCTTGGTCTTCTCTCAGCTCTTTCTGATCCTTCACTCCTCTTCTCTCTCATGAATCCACCCCAGAGCCAGCTCCACACTGTGGCCCCCACTGGGTGGTGGCTCTAGAAGACGAAGGTTTGGGCAGAGCTGCCTCCCACACCAGCGGGGGTACCAGCCGCACACCGCACTCTCCTCCCAGGCTCTTAGATCCCAGGGCCATCGGATTTCCCGGCATCCTCCCCGACACCACTGGAAGTCCCTGTAGTGCCCTCGTCCTCAGCTGGCTTGCTAGGCCTCGGAGAGCAGGGACCACGTCCTGGCCCACAGTAGGGACATGGCCACACCTGGCCTGCTTGGCAGCTATACCCTCCCAAGGAGCAAGGCAGAGTTGGACCTGAGAGCTGTGCCCTGGGCCTGCCCATACTGGGGCCCGGTTTCAACTCCATGGGCGGGACTCCGCCTCCGTGGCCCAGGCAGGGCAGTTTCTGACCAAGGAGTCTCCCACAGAGGAGCTGGAGGTCCTCGGGCTCCTCACACCTGGGCAGGCACCTGAGGAGGGTGTGTCTCCAGGAGCCTGGGAATTTCCCAGGCCTCCTCCAAGGCAAAGCCAGGCCCCACCCAGCTGGGGCTGCATGGTGTCTAGTAGCCCTGCACCGTTGTCCCCAACAAACCTGCCCTTGCTGGAATAGGGAAAGGCTACTCACTGCCCTGGACAGTGTGTGACATCCTACCCTGTTCCACCTCTTGGTAGCCCTGGCAGATAAGCTGGACCTCTTTAAGGAGGACTCGTTCTGCTGATCATTAAGCCCGCACACTGTGGCCTCATTTTATTTTACCTTGGTAATTCCACAAGGCAAGCCTTGCTCCCATTTTGCAGGTGGGGAAGACAGAGGCTTGGAGAGTTGAAGTCCCTCCCCCGGTCACTCACTGGCCAGTGGCCAGCACTGCACTCTTTCCAACACCTGCTGCCTCCCAGGGCCTCAGTTTCCCCCTGTAGTTTGAGAGTGACACTTCCATTCTGTCCATCCGCGTGAAGTTCCCCGAAAGGCCACTGAAGCCAGTCAGTGGGAAAGCATTGAAAGAGAGAAATGGCTGAATGGTTCCAGCTCAGTGCCTTGGTCCAGGCCTGCGGAAGCAGAGCTGGGGGTAACCAGGGGTTCTCTAGTTCCAGTTCTTTGGCCAGAGGGCAAACTGCGCCATGTCACACACCTGGAGAGAGCCGCAGCCCCACTGCCAACCCGGGCTGCCTCCGGCTCCTCCCAGACGCGCCCTGCCGAGCTGAGCGGTGAGTGGTGCCTCCCTCTGTGCCCTTGGTAGTTGCTGCTGGACGCGGGTGCCCACGTGGAGGGCTCAGCAGTGAACAGCGGTGAGGACAGCTACGCAGAGACGCCCCTGCAGCTGGCCTCCGCAGCTGGTAGGTGCACAGCCCAGCTGGGCATCCGGACACACCGTGCCCTTGAAATCCCTCCCTCTGGGCCCGGGGGGTGTCCCCTGGGCTCTATGGCAAGCACAGTGCCTAGCAAGGACAGCAGAGGAGGGCCCTTCCCTGTGCAGGCCCAGAAGGGGACCGTGGCGGGACACGGCCAGCCTTCCTCCTCCCTCGCCCCTGCCCACCACACAGCCCGGGCTTTCCGCAGGGTTCCCCAGCGTTCAGAGTCTGAATGCCCTCCCCCCGCCCCTTCCCTTTTGCCTCAGTGGCCCTGGCCAGCTGCCTTCTCATCGTCCTCAGAGCTCCCCCTTGTCTTCTAGGGAACTACGAGCTGGTCAGCCTGCTACTGAGCCGGGGCGCCGACCCCCTCCTCAGCATGCTCGAGGCCAGCGGCATGGCCTCCTCCCTCCACGAGGACATGAACTGCTTCAGCCACTCGGCTGCCCACGGCCACAGGTACCTGCCCCAGTGCCTGTCCTGGGTGACCCGGGGATGCTGCAGTAGGCTCCTGGGAGCCTGGATTCCCTTCCCGGAAGGCAGCAAAGCCAGGTCAGAGTGGCTCAGAGAGGTCCCGATAGCCCTGGAGCCGGGACCGTGCCTCCCAGAACCCAGAGCAACCAGTCCAGCTTTCCGGGAAGACAGTTACAGCCGCAGCTGCCAGGGCACACTTAGTGCACCAGCACTCAGCTTGGTGGGGGTCCTCCAGGGCCCATGGTGGCCTCGGGGTACCCGTCCACGTGGTGCATGGCTCGGCCAGGAAGATGCCCCTGGAGCAGAGGGTGGACCTGCCCGGGTTAAAACAGGGCGGCGGCAGGCCGAGGTCAGAGCCATTAGGCAGCAGTGCGGACAACCGGAAGTGGAAGATACTGGAGGGTAGAGACGGTGCCGAGAGGGCTGGCAGGTGGGATGCCTGCTTGCTGTTCCTGGGTGCCTTTCTCCCCCCATCCCACGCCCTGGGGCCTTTGTCTCTGTACAGTTCTCAGACTCCCTGCCCTCACCCACCTCCTCCCCAGGTACCATCTTGGACATCATGCCCAAGGCCTCTCCCCCTACCAGACCCTGCATTTGCCCCCTTGGCTCCTCTGCCTGTCACTGTCCCTCCGGGACACAGTACCTTTGGGACAGGCACTGTGGCACCTCACCTTCCCATGCCGCTACCTGGCACAGAGCAGGCGCCGTATGAACTCTAGAGCTGGCAAATCACCAGACGAGCTGACTATAGCCAGCGACCCCTGGGGGCGACCCTGGGTCCTTCCAAGGGGGCCTCTGGGCCATGAGCTTGGGAGATGCTCGGACAGGGGTCCCACCCAGGTGGCTGTGGCCAAGGCTCAGCCCCCAGCTGACCCTTGGGTCTTGCCTGTGCTGCAGCCACCCTGGAGCCACAGGCCATAGGGGCTGGGTGAATGAGGGGGGCCCATCCTCATTCTCCTCCGTGACTGGCCCTGCAGGAATGTCCTGAGGAAGCTTCTGACTCAGCCGCAGCAGGCCAAAGCGGACGTGCTGTCCCTGGAGGAGATCCTGGCCGAGGGAGTGGAGGACAGTGATGCCTCGAGCCAGGGCAGCGGCAGTGACGGGCCGGTGCGGCTGAGCCGGACCCGCATGAAGGCGCTGCAGGAGGCCATGTACTACAGTGCCGAGCATGGCTACGTGGACATCACCATGGAGCTGCGGGCCCTGGGTAAGGCAGTGCAGGCGCGCGCGCACACACATTCGAGCACACACTCACTCCCTCCTGCTCGCCAGCAGGCTGCAGAGGGCCAGGCCTAAGGATAGACCGGACCCCAGGGCAAGGACATGCTTCACCACGACAGGAACCGCCCTGAGCCTCAGCACTCTGTCCTCAGGCCTGCCCTCTGCCCCGGGCACAGCGGGGAGTCTCCGAGACGCCCTGAGGATTTGTACACGAGGAGTCACGTGCCTGCTGACTCCTCAGGTCTGGGAGTCTGGCCTATTTGTGTCCCCTTGGGAGGTTGACCAGACAGACAGACAGACTTGAGCTAGACCATACTAGCTGTGCACCACACAGCCTCTCCTAGTCTCAGTTACCCACTCCTCTCTCCGCACTTGAGTACTGGAGACCCTCAGCTAAGAATGGGATGATGTCACCTGAAGCATAAGCCAGTGCCCCTGGGAGCATTTGGTCCATGTTATCACAGGCCGTGTGCACAACCTCCAGGGCTGGGCCAGAGGGCAGCAGGGCGGCCTCTGTGTAAATGGCGGTCACTCCTACCTGCAGTCAGCATCCCCAGGACACTGACTCATCATGTCCCTGGGGAATGCCACCAGGTCTTGCTCGATCCATAGAGCCAGGCTGTGTGGGGAGGGGGCAAGCTATCACTTTACCAGGAATATGACTGGCTTTTGTCATGAACTTCACACATGGTTTTGAATTACACTACAGCCCTCTGACACCCTCTGGGGAGCTGGTAAAGTCGTTACATGCCCCAGATGTGAGCCAGTGGGAAACCCCTGAGACAGGACTGGGTTCGTTCCCAGCTTCTGTCTAGGATGGAGGTTGGGGATCTGCCTTGCACATTTTTGGGGGGCCTCCAGGTCCACCTGGCCACCCCTCCAGAGTTGATGGGTCTCCCTAGCAAATGATTCTACAGGTCAACATGCAGTGGTCAAGAAACCCCCATGCTTTAGAGCCCGAGTTCCTGCACTTGTGCTGACCTCAAATCTCCCAGCCCTGCCAGCACTGCCTGTCAGGCTCCACTGCCAGTCACCGAGCACACGGTGACGGGGCAGGCAGCAGGGTGCGTGGGGCACAGTGCTCTGCAGACATCAGGGCATCGAGGGACCCCTGCACATATAATCTTCAAGGGAGCATTTGATAAGATCAATGACGCCCACCCTTCCCGCCTGGGCCAGGTGTCCCCTGGAAGCTGCACATCTGGCTCGAGTCTCTGCGGACCTCGTTCTCCCAGTCTCGGTACTCGGTGGTGCAGAGCCTGCTGCGGGACTTCAGCTCCATCAAGGAGGAGGAGTACAACGAGGAGCTGGTGACCGAGGGCCTGCAGCTCATGTTCGACATCCTCAAGACCAGCAAAGTGAGTGTGGCCCAGCAGCCCCTCCCCCGGGCCCAGGAGCCCACAGTCACAGACCGACACCCAGGCAACACACATGGACGTCCACACACACACGCAGCCGCGCAGCGCCTGGCTGCGGAGGGCAGAGGCCATGGCTTTGTCTGTGCTGGAGTCTCGCCAAAAAAGCCATTTGAGGAATCGCTGATGAAGGAACCGGCTCTCTTGCTAAGCCAGCTCCAGCAGGAACAAAAGACAGCGGCCGCTCTAATAGGGCCTAGACCTTTGAAATTAGCCTGATGTAACTGTAAACAGACGACCACAGCGGGTGAGCTGACGGCCCCTCTGCCTCTCCCCCCACAGAACGACTCCGTCATCCAGCAGCTGGCCGGCATCTTCACACACTGCTACGGCAGCAGCCCCATCCCCAGCATCCCGGAGATCCGGAAGACCCTGCCGGCCAGGCTAGGTGAGGCCTGTCCCCTCCTCCCCAACACACCCGCTCCTCTCACTTCCTGCCTCCTCCCCTCACCATGTCTTCCTTCTCCATTTCTAAGTGTGAAGGCCCTGCCTCAGTTTCTCACCTTTTTGTCCTGCCCTGCCCTGCCCCAGCCTCTTAGAAACTCCTGCAGCGGACTCATGGGCCACTTCCTGTCTCTCCCTGTTCACAGATCCTCACTTCCTGAACAACAAGGAGATGTCGGATGTGACCTTCCTAGTGGAAGGAAGGCTGTTCTATGCACACAAAGTCCTCCTGGTGACAGCTTCCAACAGGTAGGCAATCTGGGATGACGAAGTCCCTGTCCTAGAGATGTGGGGCGGCTCAGTTCATACCACGGTAACAGACGTGGAGCAGAGCGGCTGGCAGGGGTCGAGTCTCCCTGCGGCACAGTGGGAAGCGGGCCTGGAGCACCACAGGAAGTGCTCGGGGGCTGTCCTGTCCGGCTGACTTACCGCTTTGGGTTATTAGGACACATAAATACTCTGGAAGGAAGAGTTAGTGTTCTGACCACAGGCAGCGGGTCGCTGTGTTGGTCGGGGTGGAAGGCGCAGAACAGGGCTCAGCCTGGATGATTAAATCATCGCTCCCACAAGGTACTTTAAAAATGCAGTGTTCCAAAGTGTGCCGTCTCCCAGTAGCTGGTCAGGAGACAGACAGTGCTGTCGCTGCAGTGAGAGAATAAACGTCATGTCCTAGCCCTGCCTTCTTCATCTCTTTTGCTTCAGGTTTAAGACACTGATGACCAATAAATCAGAACAAGATGGGGACAGCAGCAAAACCATTGAGATCAGCGATATGAAGTACCACATTTTCCAGGTGAGTGGGCCCGTGCTGTGCTGTTCTGGGGATGCCCCTGCCCCACCCCAGCTGCCCTCGGCCTTGTCCCCCTGGGGTCAGGGCAGCCATGACTTGGTCCTGATCTTCCGCTCCATCCCCAGTGGCCTCTGTGCTTTGCCACCAGTGGTCAGTGTCTGAGTCAAAGGTGGCAAGCCTATGGCCTGGGCGCCGCAGCAGGCTGACTGTATCACTGAAGGCTCTAGAAGGCTCCCCATCACTGCTCTGGGCCTTGCCTGCGCCGAGGGAGCCCTTCCATGGCAGGTCACGCACTCTGAGCACCAGAGCAGGGCCCAGGTAGCCTGCAGGTGCCCCACATGCGCGGTGGGCACTCGTGTCTTGAGCATCACCCAGAGCTTGCTGCACACGCAGGCCCCAGGCCTCCTGCATCAGAGCCTTCATGGGCTGCCTAGGGGCTGGTCATACAGGTCACGCTCAGAGCTCCTTGGCTCTAAGCTTTGCAGGACATGGGACATTACATAATGGGAACTCCAGACAGGGCAGGTGCAAGCAAGGCCTGGAGGAGCAGCCCTAGCTAAGAGCTCCTCTCCGCAAAGTGGCAACTTCAGGTCTCCAGACTTGGGGACAGAGGTCAGGGCTGACATCCAGGGTCTTTCCTTGCCCAGGATGGGTTGTGCGCTAATAGTAGAAGTCACAGAATCCACGCCTCATGGAAGCAGAGGAAGCCACCATTTAAAACGACTGATTTCCTCATTTGCCCTTGAGTTGCTTATGGAGTACTCAGCCATTCGTGGGTACCGAGACGGCAGTTAACGGCGCAGGCCTGCCCTCAGTGAGACAGCCGTGTGACACACAGAGACAGCTATAGGGGAAGCACGGGGGCTCTGGAGGTGCAGGAAAGACACATCTCCTTCAAACACGGGGACATGAGGGGCACTTCTTGGAGCAGCAACAGCCGGGGGAGGTTGGAAGGAGCTCCAGGTAGAAGGGAGAGCAAGCACAGAGACCACGCATGTTCCAGACAGAAGCAGAAGTGAGTCGGAAGCTGCTCTAAGGATCCACAGCATGAAGGGCCTGGGACACAGGAAGCTCCAAAAGGCCTTCCACAGCGGAAGTGTCAGCACTGATGCTGTCTTAGGCATGCTTCCGAGTGCTCTGCCTGCTCTTCACTGAAGCCCCTAAGGGAGACAGGTATATTATCCCCTCAGGGTAGACAAGGACTCAGAGGTCAACACAGTTGGGAAGCAGGGAGCCAGGCTTCAAAGCCAGAATGTGTGCGCCCATCACATCTGCATTTAGAAAGGTGAGGAAGGGATTGAAGCGGCCTGGACTACTTCTCAGGGGACCAGTCAGGAGCTGCTGAGAAGTCCAACTGGGTCACGCAGGTGACCTGGCCTGGGCATTGGCAGTAGGATATGCAGGGAGGCCCCCAGCTCTGGCAAAAGAATGAGGATGTCTCCCCGTCCTTCTTTCTCATCCCTTGGGTCCAAACTTGCTGGGGAAGGCAGCTTTAGAAACTTGTCTGGCCAAGAAGCACAAAGTCCAGGTGAGTTGGAGCATGAGGTGGACTCGTGGTCAGAGCCAGGAGGCAGGTCTCAGCACACAACAGGCATTGGTGGACACATGTGGGCGGGTGACACGGCAAGTCTGCTCACCTGCGTAGCAGCCAGTGACCTCTTAGGGTTGGTGGGAGCGTAAATGGGGACAACAGGTCTGACAACCGTGACACACATGGGCCTTGGAAATGTTCAGCTGGCCCTTCCCTGAGTTCTGGCCCAGAGCACTGTGGGTCAGCACTCTGGTGCTCTGTATAGCTGTCATCTCAGATGGGTCCTTGGACCTCCCGCTCCTGATTCCTGGGCTCCCTTGGACAGGTTAGCATCAAGCCATCAGTCCAGGTCAGGGTTCCCTACAGAAGCTGGGAAGAAGGAAATAGAGGCCCAAGGAGCTCGAAGCTGTGCTGTCAGATAGAAAGATAATGTGAGTCACAAGTTGTCATTCAAAATTTCCTAGTGGTCACATCTAAAATTTAAAAAGGCAAAATTTTAATGTACTTAAGCCAACGTAGCCAAAACATTACCATTTCAACATGTAAGCAATATAAAGAGATCAGATATAAACTGGGCATGTTGGCACATGCCTGTAATCCCAGCACTCTTGGAGGGGTAGGCAGGAGGATCTCAAGTTCAAGCCCAGCGAGGGCAGCTTCACAGGATCCCGTCTCAGAAAAGGCTAGAAGGGCTGGGGATATAGCTCAGTGGCACAAGCACCTGCCTGGCAAGTGCAAGGTCCTGAGTTTGGTTCCTGGTACCAAAAGAAAGGCTGGGGATAGAGCTCGACACAAGCACACACGCACGCGCACAGGGCTCAGTCCCCAGTACCACACCTGCACACAAACAGGCAATATTTCACACTAAGTTTTTAGTCTTTATGGTATAACTGACACAGCACATCTTAACCCAAAAGCCACCTATGGCCAGCAGCTATCAATGTGGACAAACTCTAGTTCTCTCAGGGAGAGCCCAAAGGCCTCAGCATCCTGGTGACTCCCTCAGGCCAGGAGGAAGCTGCTGTCTGCCTGCGCTTAGTCTGCCTGTTGCCCTTCCTGTCATAGCCCCTCTAGCCCCACAGGCTACCCGCTTTGGAGAAGTGACTTGCCTCTGTCCCGAGCCATTAGGTTGTGCAAAATTAACCCACCTCTGCCGGTCCACCCAGGCCCTTCCCAAGGCCCCAGTGCCAGTTCTGCTCTGGTTTCTGAGCACTCAGATGCATCCACTCCCCACAGCTGTCTGGGCTTTGCCAGATCCAGCTTCCTAAATACAACAGGAAGCTGCCTTCCAGGCCAGAAGGGGAGCTGCGGGCTGCAGGATCCCTGGCCAGGCCCCTGCCAAAGGATCCTCCAAGATCTGACCCACCTGCCTGCCTACTCTAGTCCCAGCCCTGGGCAGCCAGGGTCTGTGCCTTTGCCCTGCTGGCACTGTAGCATGCTCTCACTCGGCACAATTATAAGAGGGCCCAGGCTCCAGCCAGGGATGCAGGAGGCCGTGGGAGCCTCGCTGCATTGGGATGAGCAGCAGCATCTCCTCTCCCCACCTTGGCTTCCTCCTAGACCCTCTGGTGCCTCTCGAGCCCGAGGGCCAGTCCCAACAGAGCCCGGCTGCACGGCTGGAGCCTTGTTTACTCCCAAGCCTGCCAGCAGCGTGTGGAGCTGTTGCTTTAGCCAGCCAGAGGGATTTGTTTTTCTCTTTCCAACTGGGAGCCTCCCCACGCTCCAGCGAGACGGCAGAGTGGGTAATTTAGATCTCAGTACAGCTCTCCTCCTGGGCCACCTCCTTTGGTATCCCAGGACCTCCCCCACCCCATTCCCAAGAGTCCCCGCATTTCTTCGAGGCACCCCAGCGAGCTCGGGGTCAGAGCCTGGGCTCTGCGCTTCCTTCCCCAGGGAGCAGATGTGCCAGGGGGTCGGGATGTGGCGGCCTGAGGGTAGTGGGTTAGACAGTGGTCCCTTCAGGTCTCTCCCTCCCGACTCCAGGCTCCATGGGTAAATTTAGACTAAAACCAGTGATCAGCATGTGCTAAGGGCGTCTGCCCTCCTGGGCTCATGGGCTGTGTGGGGACTGAAGGGAAACCAGAGTGGACGAGGAGAGGGGCTCAGGCTGGCACCTAGAGGTGGCGTTCTGCGGGAAACGGCATTTGAGAGGCAGCCTGGGCAGAGTGGAGGGACAGGGAGTTAGATGGAAGGCAGGCTGGCCCCAGGGGCGCAGCTGGAGCGGTCCTGTGGGGACTGGCATGGCGCTCACCAGGGCCTCTTCCCACCACAGCTGATGATGCAGTATCTGTACTACGGAGGAACCGAATCCATGGAGATCCCCACCGCTGACATCCTGGAGGTGAGGGACAGCGTCCCCCGCTTACCCTTCTCCCCTAGGCCTCCGCATGGCTCAGCCTCACTCTCAGAAACACAGCATGTGGAGGGGCGAGGAGAGGAAAATGGTTCTCTGCAGAGCCCGTCCTCTTCTCCCACAGCCGGGGCTCTTTGGAGACTGGGAGGGTGACTGACTCGGAGCCCAGCCTCCTGGCTTGTGCCCCTGGGTTAGAAAGGGTCAGGGATGGTTTGGCCAGGGAGGACCAGACAGTGGGCTTGCCTCCCCTCCCCTGGGCCAGAAGCCCGCTGCTCCCTGATGCCCGGGCCACGGGCCTGGCCGCGAGTACCCAAGCTCTGCTTTGCCCCCCGCCAGCTGCTGTCAGCTGCCAGCCTGTTCCAGCTGGATGCCCTGCAGAGGCACTGCGAGATCCTGTGCTCCCAGACCCTCAGCGTGGAGTGTGCCGTGAACACCTACAAATATGCCAAGGTGAGGGCCAGGCTGCCACCGTCTATCCCCGCCCTGCAACACCGGGCCGGGCTAGGAAATGCGGGGGGGCGGGCCATCAAAGAGCGGTAGAGGCTTGACAGGGAGGTAGCAACTCCTGCTGTGGCCCATGAGCCGTTCCAGCCCCGCCATCCCCAGGCTTCGGGAGCCAGACAAATCCACTCAGGTAGCCACGACTTTCTCCCCTCTTGCCCGTCTCAGCAAATGAGCGCATCGAGGCCGCCTCCCTCTGGAACACCTCTGTTCTGTGGCTTCCCTCCACCTCCGCTGTCCTCACCTTGCCACCCTCCTGCTGCCCCGGACAGTTGCGTCAGCCTGGCCTTCACCCTACAGTCCAGGCAGTTCCTTCCAAAGTGCCCACCTCACTTCCCCGCTGAGCCCTGTGAAGTCTGCCCACTGCTTGCAAATGAAGTAAAAGCTAATCCTTGTCCTACCTGGCGAGGCACCAGAGTGCCACCCACACGTCCCTCCCCTCCTCTCTGGACCACACCAGGGCAGCCTGTTCTCTCAGCTTGTCACCGCCCCAGGACTCCGACAGCCCTTTCCTTCTGTAAAGCGCTCTCCCGGAGCACTTCCTGTGCTGGAACCAGCCAGTGGTCCCCGGCCTCCCGTAGCCACCCTGTCCCTCGTCACACGGCCGGCTTTGATCTCCTTCACACCCACGATGCTATCAGCTCCTACCCTAGCTCGTCGGGTGGAGGGCATGGGTTTCCTGCCTCTCCCATACTGGAACTTTAGCACAGTCTCCATAAGGAGACTGTGACCTGAGCACCTCATGCCAGTACCTGGCCCAGAGCAGGCCCTCAGCTCACCAAACATCAGCGTGGTCCCAGAGCCCTCACCACAGGAGCACTCCCAGGCGCAGGCCCTGGGGGGATGCAGGCGCCCGCAGCGCGGTCCCTGCGCTCAGGAGGGGAGCTTCCGGCCCAGTGCCATTCAGGGCCTCACCCGGGTGACACAGGCAGAGGAAATGATGAGGACCCTGGACAAGACTTAGTAATACCTTGGTGGCACAGGTGGGACTTGAACCCAGAATAGGTCCCACCCCCGGGAGATGCTTATAGATGGAATTAAGATAAGCGGGAGGTGGCCTCAAGGTGCAGGCAGGGACCAGGGCCAGGGTGAGGCTTAGGCTGGGCCCTGGCTGGGGCTGGGGTTCTCAGTGGAGCCGACCGAGGCAGCTGCCTCAACCCTCCTCTCCCTGCCTGCAGATCCACAATGCCCCAGAACTGGCCCTGTTCTGTGAGGGCTTCTTCCTCAAGCACATGAAGGCCCTGTTGGAACAGGACGCCTTCCGGCAGCTCATCTACGGCCGCAGCAGCAAAGTACAGGGCCTGGACCCACTGCAGGACCTGCAGAGCACGCTGGCCGAGCGCGTACACTCGATCTACGTCACCTCCCGGGTGTGAGCGGCTGGCTGGAGCCCACGAGGTGGGGCCGCGTCCCTGGGGCTGTCTCCCTGCCCTGCCCAGACACCCGCCCAGCTGTGGATCTCTCCTCGGGTTGGCACCTGTGCCCGGAGCCCACCCTTCACCAGACAACCCGACCGTCTGCCCCACAGGAGCAGGAAGGGTTGTAGCCAAAGGGTGGCCTTCCTGTCTGTACCCCTCGTTTGCACCTTGAGGGCCACCCCACATTCCCTCGTGTGTCCTGTCCACTTCTGCTCCAAGCTCTCTCTACCCCCACCAGCTGGGGCTCCTTATGAATGTATCCTGTCTGAGCCCGGGCCCTGAAATGCAAGGCTGCCCACATCCCTGGACTTACCCTCCAGGAGCCTGTGCCTTTGAAAGGCTTGGTGTGGGCTGCCCCGACCCACTTGGTCTTCCTGTTTTCCATGGAGCCGGGGTCTGCAGTGGCCCTCCCTTCAGAACCGCTAACGCAGTCCCAGCTGATGGCCTCTGAGCCCAGGATGTGTGGGGCCCAGCGTAGGATCTCGGTGGCCTCGGCTTTGCTGCTGCTGTTAGGGGCCACGTGAAGGGGTGGGTTCCGGAACTGAGGCCTGGATCTAGGCCGCCTGTGTGGGCTCAGGCAGCCGCACCGACGCGTCCTGCCTGGCCCAGCCTCTCAAGTGAAGGGTTCCTCTAACGCAGGACCAGAGCGCGGGCACACTTCTCACTGGGAACTGTGGATCCTGCGCAAAGGACAGGGCCTTGGTGGAAGGGAAGGGCTGGGAGAGGAGGACCTCGGCCATGTCCTCCGGCCTGCGTAGGGACCAGACACTGGGGCAGCATCAAGGACAGCTTGCTCTGGGTGTAGCCTGGCTGCACCACGGGAACTATTTATTCATCAAAAGCCCTAGGCACTTCAGGTGTCACTTCTATCACCCTGAAAAGTCCCTGGGGCTTGCAATCTGGAAAATATTTTCAACTAGCTGCTTGAGCTGGATGTACAAAGAAATAGGAGTTATTTTATTGCTGTAATATTGTATGATACTGTAACTATATGTTAATGTCACTCATTGTAAATGTACCATGGTTTTATTAACAATAAACATCATTAACAAATGATCTTGGTCTCGGGGCTTTTTCGACGGGGTTGCTCCTAGTTCCAAGCTGGGGAGAGACCCAAGCTCGTTCGCTGCCACCCAGAGCTCCCCTCTGTCCACAAAGAGCCCCCTCCCCAAGCTGACCGGACCCGTCTGTCCCTCAGGGCTCAGGCAGGATCTGTCCCTTAAGTAGGGACGGGTCCCAGGACAGGAGCCAGGCTCAGGAGGGGGGCAGCTGCTGCAGGGGTTGCCCGACTGCGCCCCGGCCTTCCGTGGATGCATGGAAGCCTCTTGTGTGTCTGCAAAGCTGTGCTCAGCCCCACCCTGCAGGGCTTAGACCTTGGCTGGTGAAGATAATGTTCAGGCCCCAAGTTTTTCTAGAGCCTGTTGTAGGTTTTGGTGTAACTCCAGGCAGAAACTGAGGTTTTTAAAAATGCTGCACCCCAGGCCAAAAGAAAAATTCTAAGGTTACTGGGAATCTGACCTAGAGTGACTGTGGTTCAATAATATGCCAGGACTGAGCTGAGAGATGACAATGGCCTGTAGGAGCCAGTCCCAGGGAAGCCCCATTTCCCAGCTTTGCTGGGGTAGGAGCCAAGCAGGGCAGCTTCATGCCCAGCCTGGAGCCCTGGACCCTGTGGGTTCAGGGAGCCCTATATTGCCGTGTGGACTACAGCGCCCCCTGGGGGCTACGGGGAGGCAGCGCAGTGAGCAGCATCAGCTTTTACTGAGGCCCTGGGAACTAGGCAGAGCGAGTGTCCCTCCCCGGGGCTCAAAATGTACAGCGGCTACCCTTCAGGGGTCTGCAGGAGGGCCGTTCCAGCCTAGAAGGCAAGGGCTAGTCATGCTCTGACTCTAGGGCTTTCTTTACTCTTTGAAGGTTTTCTCTCTCTTCAAAGAGGTTGAAAGGGGGGACAGGGCACTTCTGCGCCTGTGGAGGGCAGGAATAAACCCTCAAACATTTAAAATAATTAGAAGGGCTGAAGATGCACAGAACAGTGTCAGAACACTTGCCTAGCATCTGTGAGGCTCTGGGTTCCCCATTGAGCAAAAATAAATAAAATTAGGAAAAAAAGTCGGACAGCCTTCCCAGGAGCTGGGACTGTAATGTCAGTGGGGATGTGTGACCACTTACCCCAGGAGCCAGACCGACGCCTGATTCGGGGCCACTACTCAGGGCCCTCGGGGCCACTTCTCCTCAGCTGCCAGCCCCGAGCACGAGCAGCCAGGCTGGGGAGAGCAGAGCTGACTTCTCACAAGCCGATGGGCGACCAGGGCTGAAGGCGGAGCTCCCTGCCGCACCCAGAAGCACCAAGGCACCGTCTACCCACGGGTGCAGCCTCTGCCTCCAACCCTGGGCCACCACAGCCAACCCCAAGTCCGCCTTCCTCCCAGGCTGCCAGGCCTCGGACACTCCTCCTCCTGATGTTTCGCTTCCCTTCCTGTCCTCGGCCTGCTTCCCTTTCCACCCAGTGTCCCCTTGGCCAGACAGAGGAACCAATGCAGGGCCAGGAGGCCCAAGGCCTGCTGGCCCCTTCTCCCCTAGCTGAAGTGCTGCGCTCGAGCCCCAGGCCTCGGACCCCACCCCCGCCCCCACACTGGCTGCCAGGTTACAATGGCCTCACATGAGCCTGCATTTTTCCACGGTGACGGTCACTTATTCCCACCCCTCCTCCTCCTCCCCTGGCTTCAGCGGGGTCCCTTTGTGTCTCTTGGTCACTCCTGAGTCCTCAGGGACGGTGGGGACCAGATGAGCCCCACAGAAGCACTGCAGCAGGCTAGCGTCAGCCCCCTCCTGGCTGGAGGGGCACAGTTAGGCATTGCCTTTGTTCAGGCTTCTTCGGCCCCTTCTATCCCGGTGACAGCATTCAGAGCGGGCCTGTCTGAATTCATTTCACAAGTGACATCTCCCGAGACCGTTGAGCTGTACAGATGTCACTGTCTGGGGACCAGATGGTGAGGTCTAGGGAGGCATGCCCTCTCAGGTTTGAAGGAGAGCACACAGCGAGACACAGTGCAGAGACCCGTTAGGGACAGCGTTTTACCAAGGAAACAGCCAGGACTGCATTCGGCAGGTGGGACACTTGCTTCCTTTTTTTAGGCAGAGGGGACCACAGTCCCAGGAGAACAGAACGCCCAGTCCTGGGCCACGGAGCTGTTTCAGAGCCGGGCGGAGTGCACGCTCTGCGGTCCGTGTGGGGCTCTGCCCAGCTCAGGCTGGTTCGGGAACACAACCAGCCCTATTCAGTGGCCTCGGAGCTGGCAGTGGACAGAGCCCACACGCGGACTAATGGCACCTGCTGCCCGCCAGCCCGGTCCGGGCTCTTCCCATCTACCCCAGCCCTGCTCCCTACGGCCTGGAGGTGTGCCATCAGCACCACTCCTGGGGGGCAGCTCTGGACCCGGAGCACACGCAGAATGCAGGCCTATTTCTGCCGGCCCACTGACTGGGGCTGTAACCGAGCATCTGAGCGGACAGTTTACGGACAGTACATCTTTCTTAACAGTGCAGAGGCTGGAGAATCAGGTCAAGGGGCTGCATCTGTGACGGCCTTCTCGCTTCCAGGGAACCTGCAGAGTGCAAGGCAGGGCAGGCGTCACACGCCAGAGTCCACTCACCGTCCCAGCGGCTTTCGTGCCAGACCCACCCGGATGAACCCACTTACCGTGAGCAGATGAATCCTTTCCTGGAGGCAGCGCCTCCTGACTAAGTGACCACCTCTTCAGACCTCACGATGGGGACTGAATTTCAACACGAGTTTCAAACCACAGCAGTGCCCAAGTTCTCAGAGCGTCAGGGCTGAGCAGGGGTCAAAGCACTTCTAGGCACCTGGCCTCAGAGCCCCTGTGCCCCTGCTGCCCGGGGAAGAGGCAGTGGGCAGCCAGGGCTTGGACACTGAGCAAGGGCTTCCTCACCTGCGGGACCACACCCCCAAACAACTTCTGATCATCGTCTCCAACTACTCTCCCTCTAAGAAAATCAACCTCTGAAAGGCAGGCTCAGATACCCCCCGAGAAGATGAAAATTATTTTCCTGTTCCTCTCCACAAATTTCTGTGCAGACCCACTGGAGGGTCTGTGGCAGGAAGCGGCAGAGCCAGGAAGCACAGGCCCTGCCGCCCAGGTCCCGACAGAGGCGGCACAGCTGTTCTAGCGAGGGTCACAGAAGCTGAGCTCCCCGTCCTGTCCTTCCGCCATACTTCTGCCTGGAGAGCTGAGCAACAGTTCTATGTGGACTCAGCATGGACGCCATCAAACGCATGCACCAGGATGTGTGAAGTCACCAGGTGACTTCTGTCCCCGACAAACAGCGGACATTGAATGACACGGCAGGGCCGGGGAGAACAGATAGAGCCAACTGACTGCCAGCCACCGCACAAGCCCTTCACGGCGGCCACCGCGCCACTCGGTACCTGCCTCTTCTCCCGCAGCTCCTGGCTTGGGAAGCTCCAGCCACAACACACAGCCCCGGCCTTGATCCCAAACCCTCCACATGCTCTCCCTGCCAGCCAGGAAATAGCAACACGCAACTTCCACAGACGTGGATGTCATGACACCCACAGGCAGAGGGTCTTCTAGAAAGTTATTTATTAAAAATAGATTCGCTACCCCCCTCCTCACGCTGCCAGCGAAAGGCCCTTTCCCAATGTTCTTTCCCAACTGACAATGTAACAGCTTACAGACTCAGATGTATCTTACTTAAAATGAAGGGCTCAGGTTTTTCTGAGACACTGAGAGGGCAGCAGGCCTGCTGCAGCCAGAAGTGGAACAAAATGTAGCATTAGCCCACGCTAGTATACACAGGCGCCTGCCACACCTCTGGGTACACTAGAGCTCCTGCTGCTCCAAGTCAGGGCATTGGGCCAAGTCCATGATGAGCCCCAGCGGCCCAGCCAGAGCATCCCCAAAACACTGTGCACTTGGGCATGGGAAGAGACCACTGTGGGCATGGCTTCCGCAGGCATGGGAACCAGGCTAAAAAGCCAGCCCAAGGAGAAAGGGGAGCTTATTGGAAACGAGGGTCTGCACGGGAGTGCCAGAGCTCTGCCCAACCATCAAGCTCCGAGCAGAGCCCTCTGGGAGTGACTGCCTCCAGCCAGGCTGGACCCAGAGACAGCTCAGGGCACACTTCCGTGCTTGCTGGGGCCCTTGTTGCTCCTGACCGTCCAGGCTGCTGCCCAGGTCAGCCAGAGATGGTTCGGGCAGTCAGAGTGTCCCCTCACGGGCAGCCAGCAACACCCAAGTCTTTCTTCACTATTTCTTCCGCTTCAGTTTCATATCTTTTCTGTTCTTCACATCTCTGTTTTTCTTCAACTTCTTGCTCTGTTTGGGTTCTTGCTTGGTTTCCGACTTCCTTTTCTTGTCACTGGAGGAAGAAACAGCAGGCGTAAGGGGAGAGTGACACAGCACAGAGCTCAGGCTGCTTGGCTGGAGCTCACTTTGCTTTGCTTTGTCGGAAGGACAGGGGCCTTCGCCGTCTGCCGCCGATGCAAGAATACCCAGTTACATTCTCTGCAAACCCACCAGGGTGGCAGGCATCATGCCGGGGCCAGGGACACGCCGCCCAGGCCCAGCGCCAGCTCTCGCCGAGCCGAGCCTGGAGGAACAAGTCTATCTTTCCACCTAAAACCTGGGTTCTCTAGAGAGCGCCGCAAACACAGGCCTCCAGAAACATCTAGGGTGTCACAAGAGAGGCCGCCTGCTGTACTTTCTAATGTGCTATTTTCTTTAAATGAGCAGAAGAAAACCTAAAGGAACCCAAGCCACTCGGGTTTCACTGTGCGACTGAACGCAGGATGCCTCACTGGCAGGCTGCAGCTGAGACTGTCCACCAAGTGGCCACCTTCCAGTGAGGAGCCCTTAGTGATGAGAGATCATCTTCCCATGGAACAAATACTTCCTATACAGGCAGTGTGCGGTTCACCCTAGGGACAGCCTGATATGAACTACATCTCAGGACTGCAAAAAGAGTGAAAGAAAAGCAAGGCCCCAAAGACTACGCAATGGTGGGTTATTTAGCAT